AAAAAAAAAAAAAAAAACCAACTTTTAGTTAAGAATACCTTAGCAAAGACCATGGACCGTTTGGTAATTGCACCAACCAGGAAGATGGATCCTCTGTTTTTTCAGAATTCATAGAAGAACTAGCATTGAGTCAGTTGATCAAGGTTCTTCTCTTCGTGGTTTCAAAAAAGGGAAGGAATTTCAGAACAAGAACTAAGTCATTATTTTGGTCCGTAAGGAAATTGGTGTGTTTATTTAACTCAAAAGTTTGAAACCTTGACCTTAACTTTCAAATCAGGCTTTTGAAGTTTGTTGATACCGACACGGATAAGCTGTCATTGGTGGAACTGCTACAAGGTTAATAGGCCATCCTGCAAGGTTGAAATTTTTGGGTTAAAATCTAGGGTGAACAAAAATTTGCAAATGGGAACAAGGAAATGACAGCAAAACCACATCAGGGCGCAACCAGGTTGGGACTGTTGGGTCCACTAAAAAAAAGAAAAGATTCTAGTTATGGGGAAGTTTTAGGTCCCAACTCCAACAATAATTGCAAACCGTTTTGGAGTAACCAACACCAACTGAAAATTCCATGAGCATAGTTATTGCCCACAAAAGGCACATAACTAATTTGGTATTGTGCTGTGCAGGCATTTGAAGCTGCATGGGCTGGTGCTTGTAAAGTCCAGGCATCAATGGTGAACGTTCCGGCTGGATTCACGTTCCTTGTGGGACCCATTTCATTCTCTGGTCCATACTGTCAAGCGAATATTGTCTTCCAGGTAATGATCATGACAAATTCATAGCATGATATATCATGTACCTGCAGCTTCTGTTTGTGAATGATAGTATTAAGACTTGATGCTTTGCATTAAGGCTGATGAGATGATTTTCCACAGCTGGATGGCACAATCATTGCTCCAACTGACTCCAAGTCTTGGGTTGGAGGTCTTTTACAATGGCTTGAATTCACAAAGCTGAATGGTATAACAGTTCAAGGAAAAGGTATCATTGATGGAAGAGGCTCTGGCTGGTGGCAGGATTCCCCTTTTGAAGATCCTATAGATGATGAAATTAAACTCATTATCCCGTTAAACAACACATTAGAAGACAAGCCACCACTGCCGGTAATTACCTATTTCAGTTTCTTCTTTCTTCTGAAATTCCTGCATGAGTTCTCTGGCCATTCCCACTAATCATGCTTCTTGGGTAAATTGTGTGGTAGGTCAGAAATGAGCTCAGTGGGAAAATGCCAAGCATCAAGCCAACTGTAAGGACTACTTGGAACTACCAAAATTGCAATCACACTTCCTGACAGTGCAGTCCTATAATTTGTTCTTTCTTTTCACTTGCACAGGCACTGAGGTTTTATGGGAGTTTCAATGTAACTGTCACGGGCATAACTATTCAAAACAGTCCACAATTCCACCTCAAGTTTGACAACTGCGTGGGGGTTGTGGTACATGACATGAGTGTTTCATCTCCTGGAGACAGTCCCAATACAGACGGAATTCACCTACAGAACTCCAAAGATGTGCTAATACATAGCAGCAATCTTGCTTGCGGTAATTACATTGTTTGGACATTAATCCTTTCATTTCCATATTTATTCACTTGAAAAATGGTGGACTACAGACTCAACTCCATCTCAACAACAAAGAATAAGATCTGCAAAGTTAAAACTCAGGTTATAGGCTGAATAATAAGTAATAAGATCCTGAAAGAAACATAACATACATAATCTTATCTTGCTTCTAACCTTATTCTACACATTCTCAATATAACCACCAATAACTTGACCAGTGGCAAAAGGAACATCCAAAAATTTCAAGGATGAAAGCCACCAGTCGCTTTACATGTGTCCTATTCTAAAGTATGTTTAAATCATCAACCATCCAATGTAGGATTAGGTTTGACCTCGTTCAGAACCAGGACACAATTTTTGGTTTTCTCTTTGTAGTTTTCTTTTGTCTCTACTTATAGCTTGTACATTTATTCCCATCTGGTTATCCTATTGTCTTTTTTTTTGGCCACCTGTTATCCTATTGTCTACTTCAGATTAGAAATGGGTTCTTTTGTCAAGTTTTCATTCAAAAAAAAAAAAATTTATAAACTGGTGCTTTGGGTAGGGAATAACTGCCATTGAATAAGACACAATGTATGCATAAATGTGGATCACTAGTACAACAGTGAACCAGCTCTAAAACTAAAGCTAAGGGATAATGACATAAAATGTTTCAAATTTATGTTGTATAAAGCTCTTAAAATCTAATGATTTGTGCAGGAGATGACTGTATATCTATACAAACTGGATGCTCAAACGTGTATGTACACAATGTCAACTGTGGGCCAGGACATGGAATTAGCATTGGAAGTCTGGGAAAGGATAATACCAAAGCCTGTGTCTCAAATATCACAGTCCGAGATATCATGATGCATAACACAATGAATGGTGTCAGGATCAAGACGTGGCAGGTAAGCACCTAACCTTCAGTCTCACTCCAATGTATGATTGAAAACTCATTCACATTTCTGAGAAATATAATTGGAAAACTAGTTGATTAGATGTGCTAAATTGGGTTCTAACTAAATCCAACACATAGTAAAGACATTTGCTTTAACCATATGGCATCGCAAGACAGATTCTGGATGAATTACATGCTAGACTGAGGCCTATGTTAGTAAGGCATCCAACACCAAAGAAATGTTTGCCTTCTGTTTTAGAGCAATCTCAAAAACTTGAACAGATCCTTTTCCATTTATAATATAGGGTATCATTTTTTGGTTCTAATCCTAGACAAAAGCATCTAGTATGGAATTCCCTATACCTGTTTTCTTATAACACCTCCAAGTTTCTAGCAATAATTCTGACATATTATTTTAAATGTTAAATCTGCAGGGTGGATCAGGCTCCGTACAGGGGGTAATGTTCTCAAATATTCAAGTTTCTGAGGTGCAACTACCAATTGTGATTGACCAATTCTACTGTGACAAAAGGTCATGTACCAATCAAACATCTGCTGTTGCTCTCTCAGGAATCACCTATGAAAGAATAAGAGGAACATACACAGTGAAGCCTGTGCACTTCGCCTGTAGTGACAGCCTACCATGTACGGGTGTGACTTTATCTGCCATACAGCTAAAGCCATTGCAAGAACACTATCACCTCTATGATCCCTTCTGCTGGCAAACTTTTGGAGAGTTGACCACTCCAACTGTTCCTCCAATTGGATGTTTACAGATTGGAAAGCCACCTAAGAATCGAGTTCAATCTGATCATGATGTATGTTAAGCTTGGTCTAGTTAACTTATGGTGTACTCATTTGTGTGGTCGGCATTGTCTTCTGACCCCTTTTGCACCATTAGGTAATTGAGTATAGATTTTATATATAGGCCATCGTACTCTATAAGAAGTCTTCTTTGCTGGGAATACCCTTATTTTCATTCTGTGACAGTGTACAGGTGTGTCATTCACTACTACTGGCAGAGTATGATGGTAGAGTTAAAGCCTCGTTTATCACAGCAGATTATTTGAGCGTTAGATATCATATAAATAGCTTTGTTTTCTATTATGCATCAAATAAACACCATATATAGAAAGATTTGGAAGTTCAGGCATTGCAGTCACTAAAAGAACTATGAAAACCATGAAAAATCAGTTAGGCATTGACAACATTTGTAATAAAGACAATGACCAAATCCCTAACAAGATATTTTCAGCATAACTGCTGGTTATCATCATAGGGGGCAAACCCGAAAAAGGTAAACTTTTTTCTCTCCTCATTGTAAAGTCACCATCTTTCCCTCAACCATACATAACCATATATTAGAACATACTTGTTCATCCTGTTCTCCTGTTGAATATCTAAACAACCACCCCAACGGAATTTAAGAGACCAAAAATAAGAGCAACCTCTGGCCACCCCATTTCTCTAAGGGGGTGGTCCAAAATCTGTGCCAAACTTAAAGTCCATGCTCTACCTTAGCAACTACAAGGAAGTTAGCCCAACTAATAAACAAATTTTTTTTTTCTTTTGTTTAGAGGTCAGGTGTCCTCGCAAAAGCTTGCGTGCACATGTCTAAGGCAAGTAGAGAATTCATGAGAAATTTCCAGTCACCGAGTTGTTTGGGAAGCTGCTGTGGACGACTCTGGGAAGGAATTCACTGACATTATTTACGAGAAGGTTGTCGGTGAAGGTGAAGGGTTGTTCTTAATCCCACCATGGTTAATGTCCTCTATGAATTCTTAAGTATTTAGGAAGTCTGAAGTTTGATCGTCATTGGTTTCAAGCTTCAAGATTGATTCATCTTGTTTAAGTTATCAAGTTCATCTTGAATATTAGGTTGCAGGTTGTGCAATTGGAGGAGGACATATTTTGCACATGGTTTGTGATCTAACCATTGCGGAAGATAATGCTATTTTTGGTCAGACTGGTGCAAAGGTGCTTCTATTATATCTTGTTATTTCGTTATTTTGCTATGACAAATGACACCACATTAAAATTTGATATCAGATGCCTTTCATTATGGTCTGTTATGTCCAATGTACCTACTTTTGTTATAATTTATTGACATTGCTAATTCTGCTCAATTGGATATATATATATATATATATATATATATATATATATCACAGGTAGGTAGTTTTGGCGCTGTTTATGGAAGCTCCATTATGTCCCGTTTGGTAAGCATCAATGATATAATCTCTAAGTTTCACATCAGTGTATTTTATTTGCATGGTGAAATTCAGCAATTCGGTTTTTGTATATAGAATTGATGCATTTCCTTCTAGCTTGATATTTCTAGAAGCTCTTCTTAGTTTCAGCATCCACAATTCATGGGTTTGCCTTTATGTTAAACAGATTGGACCTAAAAAAGCACGTGAAATGTCGTTTCTAACAAGATTCTACACAGCTTCTGAAGCAGAGAAAATGGGACTTGTCAACACTGTTGTCCCAGTGAGTTCTCTTTGTTGAAACAATTTTCTTTTACCCATCCTCTCAGAATATATATCATGTCAGTAAACATAGCTAAGGCAAGACCGTTCCCTGATTTTCTCCAGCTCGAGAATTTAGAGAAAGAGACTGTTAAATGGTGCAGAGAGATCCTAAGAAATAGCCCAACTGCCATTAGAGTGCTCAAGTCAGCTCTCAATGCCAGTGGATGATGGCCATGCTGGCCTTCAGGTACCCTGCATTTCTTACCATGTACCATATTTGAACGGATAGCTTAAAATTCTCCATTTACCAATCTAGACTCCCAAAATCTTGTGGTTTCTTTTCTTTCTTGTACAGGAACTTGGTGGAAATGCAACATTCTTGTATTATGGCACTGAGGAAGGTAATGAGGGGAGGACAGCATATATGCAGCGTAGACGCCCTGATTTCTCAAAATTTCCTCCAAGACCTTGAACATAATTACCCTCCCGGCTGTTCCTGCAAAATGTAACAACACTTGTCCTTCATTAGTTTGTTTCTATTTCCTTGTTCTACTAAACCAAAAAAGATAAAAAAAGAAAAAAGAAAAAAAGAAAAAAAACAAGTTTCATGAAGGATTACAGACCTTGAAAGTTGATGCATATAATATGGACAATGATACGTAAATAATCTTTTTATGTAATTTTTTCATATTATTTTTTTATGTTATTAAATAAGTAAAAATATATAATATTAAAATTTTGATATAATAAAATAATCAATAATTGAATAAAATATGAGATTATAAGAAAATATTATACCGAAAAAATGTCTCGCAATCATTTATATATACTGTTTATAAAGTTGTGATTGAAATTCTAACAATTAAAATGTTATAAACAAAAACTTAATAATTTTTAATAAAATAAAATTTATTAAAAATATTTAAATAATTTTATAGATAATTGAACACACAATTTTCCCTTTTTTTTATTAGTTGTTAATTAAGAGTTAAATTTATTAGCTGTTACTGTCAATTAAATTTAATAGAACCTTAATTTACAAAGAGAATCAAGAAAGTCTAACTCAATAAAAACGAAAAATAACTTAACCTACGCAACTGCGAAAAAAATTCCAAATTTCTTATTGGTAGACCGCGCATTATCACAGTGGTCTGTCTGCACAATATTAAACCATCTCTCAATATCAGCCATCAGATTATCGGACCAATTTTCCAAAGCCAACGTGTCACTCTGACGTTACTCTGATCTTTCTGCCAGTTCTCCAATGATTAAAACCAGTTTAGTCCCTCAACTTTTCTATTTGTACCTAAATTATCTCTCAACTTTAAAATATCAAAATTGTCAATAAATTTTAATTTTCAAAACCAAGAAAAAAAAAATCATTCTATTAACAAAAATGTCACATAACTTGTTATTTTACTATAAAATCAATTTTTTTAAAATACTAATGACATGTAAAATTAAATAATTATATTTTACTATCGGAACATATTTTTATTTACAAATTAGATTGAAATATAATTAAATTTAAAAAATTAAATTAATATTTATAATTAAAATTTAAGAATTAAGTTGTTACTTATTTTCAAAGTTTCAGGATTAAATTTGTGTTATCTTGAACTATTTTGATATCATAAATTAAAATTTAGGAACAATTTTGGTATTTTTTAAAGTTAAGAGATAGTTTTTATACAAATCTAAAAGTTAAGGGACCAAATTTGGTATTTTAACCTTCTCCAATCAGCATCCGCCTTCCCGTTCCCCCCGCAACCGGAAAACCAAATCGAGCTCAATACTCCACTTTCGTGTTCTGTCTTACGCCAAGTCCAGATTCATAGACGGCTGCTAAAGACTTTCCTCTGTTCTTCTAATTATGTGAATCGAATCCCCTAAAAACAATGAGCAGTAACGAATTTCGCTTCTTCTTGTCCTGCGACATCAATCTCCCCGTCACCTTTCGCGTCGAGAGATTAGAAGGGACTTTGCCGTCCGCCAAATCCCCCAATTCAGGTGCGTCGTGGATTTCATTTTCAGTTAGTACAAGTTTTGAATCCAGGATCGAAGTAATTGAGGCTCGATTTAGTTACTGTCACGGTGTTTATTGAATTTGTGAAGTTATGAGCAAGATTTGTCGCCGAATCGACTTTGTTTTGATTATAATTTCAGTTTTTCTCGAGAAAGTAGAAATTTTTATTGTTTGTTTGCTGTGGCGGGGAGAAATTCTGTGTTCTAGCGATTTTAATTTCAAACTTCTGAAATTAGCAATTTTTGAATTTTCTGTTGTGATCAAATATACATGTTGGTTGGAACAATATTGTTTTTAATTCGATTGCAGGAATTGATTCCACTAGAGAGGAGAAGAATGCGGAGTTATATGTGGAGTGTGCATTATACATTGATGGTGCTCCTTTTGGTCTTCCCACAAGAACAAGGTTTTTCCCCACCCCCGATCCCCCCTTTTTTTTTCAATTAATCAGTTTTTTAACTTGTTGCTTTTAATTTTGGACAAATATATTAGTTAATAAATTTTCTTGCTTTTCATTCTGGTTTCACTCTTTATGGAAAAAAAAAGGGGAAAAAAAGGGAGAGCTGGTTTTATTCTTTGTTGATTCATGTTGAGTTATATGTTTTGGATGTTCTTTATGTGGGCATCATCTTTAAGTATCTATGGTTTCTTTTTGCACCAGGTTGGAATCTGCAGGACCATCTTATTCCTGGAATGAACTGATCACCTTGAGTACCAAATATCGGGACTTAACTGCTCACTCCCAACTTGGTTTGACAGTTAGTAGCAACTTTAACTTTGCTTTCTCATTTTATGGCTACTTTTATGTCATCATTTTCATACGTTGTTTATGTTTGTGTTGGTTGAGGAATTTGCTCGTTTGTCATATCATATGTAATTAGTGGATAAAATGGAAACCTAATTCATATATCAACAAACTCAATTGCTAAGTGATTCGCTTTATCTCCAACTTGCTTACTCCTTCCAAAACATGTGTGGCAAAACTTGAGTTGAGTTACTCTAGAGAACCTTTCTCCATGACTCTGGATAACCTTTCCCCTTATGGAGAAAGGTTCTTCACAGAGCTATCCATTGCCAGTATATCAACACAAAAATAGCATCTTCTGTTTGATAAGTTCCCCAGTTTTAATCTCTAGATTTTACTTTACTTCTTGCATTTTGTCTATGTTATTAAGTTTTTCTTGTAATTTATATTTTCCATTGTTCTTTCTTTGACTTTTTCTTGTTGGGATTTTTAGGTTTGGGACGTTTCGCGTGGAAAAGATGAAGGGTTGATTGGTGGGGCTACCATCCTTCTATTTAACAACAAAATGCAACTCAAAACAGGGAAACAGAAACTTAGGCTCTGGCTAGGAAAAGAAGCAGATGGTTCATTTCCCACAATGACTCCTGGAAAGGTTCTGATTAGCAATGTTCTGTATGAGATAGATTACAATGTTATTTTGTTTGGCCTTTTCATGAAATGGTTATATGTTTAATATATGTTTAATCTGTGTGTGATGTATGCCACTATAGGTACCCAAGCATGAGCGTGGGGAGTTGGAGCGTTTAGAGAAGCTTGTGAATAAGTATGAAAGGGGACAGATTCAACATGTTGATTGGCTGGATCGTCTCACATTCAAGGCTATGGAGAGAATTAAGGAGCATGAAAGCTTGAGAAATGGGAGCTCTAGTTTATACTTAGTCATTGATTTCTGTAGTTTTGAACATCGAGTTGTCTTCCAGGTAGTACAATACAGTCATCAGATTACTCATCATTGGTGTTTCTGTTAAGTCTTTATGATCCTCGTATATATTTGCAATAAGGGGAACAATGTCTCATCTTCTTTTCTTATGTCCCATTCTTTAAATTTGAGCATGAGAACTGAAAATAGAATGGCTGGTGCCTCAATCTAATTCCTGTCCATTCTTTGAATTTTCTTATGTCCCATTCTTTAAATTTGAGCATGAGTCTGTGCAAATTACTTAATTAGAACAAAGCATTCCTTTTGTCCCTTTTGTTTTAAACTTTTTTCTTCTTTTAATAATTCCTGTGGAGTGGTGCTTTATCATGGCCACCTAAATTTTGAAAAAGTAGTGGTGTCTTAGATGCCTTGATTTATGTGTGACTTTTCACATAAAGATTGCCATGTTAGCTGAAATGCCCTTTGAAAAAGTTGACTGATGACGCTTAGAGGTTCATTATTTGTGATTTGGGAGTATGTATTGCATTTAGTTCAGTACTTGGTTCTGAGATATTACTTTGAAGTTTGAACTTTTTAGTTTAGCCAACCAAAATAATCTTACCTTATTATCCTTTAACATGTAGGAGTCAGGGGCAAATTTCTTATTACCGTCCCCAATAGCATCATCAAATGAACTTGTCATTGTTTGGGACCCAGAAGTGGGCAGGATAAATCCAGCTGAACACAAGCAACTAAAGTTGGCTAGGAGTTTAACTCGGGGTATCATAGACAGGGACCTTAAGCCAAGCTCTAATGAACGGAAGTAAGATTGAAGTCTATACTAAGGCTCAAACTATTTTGAAGTTTCCTATTCTCTTTTTCCCTGCAATTTCACTTTTCAACATGGATGCTTCCTATCTGGCTCACATTTTAAGCTGCCATATAATTGAGGTGGAATTTTGTTGATTCTGTAATCTTTATTAATGATAACTCTTCAGAGACTTTGCTTTGTTATCTCTGTTGGATTGTTCTGTTAGTCTGGTTATATATATAATTTTATGTATTTGTTTTACATAATTGTTGATCAAATTTCTTGAGTAAGAGACTTATATTATCTCCTTTTTTTCTTTGTTTTAAGGATAATCCAAAGAATTTTAAAATATCCACCTACAAGGGCTTTAAGTGGAGATGAGAGACAGCTACTTTGGAAATTTCGCTTCTCATTGATGTCTGAGAAGAGAGCGCTAACAAAATTTCTTAGATGTGTTGAATGGAGTGATGTCCAGGTTAGCTTCTTTTTCCATTGTCCCATCTACTATGTGCTTTTTTTGTGGTTAATAAACAAAATAAGTCATTATTGCATATTCATTTGTTGATGTACCTGCAGGAAGCAAAGCAGGCAATTGAACTGATGGGTAAGTGGGAAATGATTGATGTCAGCGATGCATTGGAGCTTCTATCCCCTCTTTTTGAAAGTGAAGAGGTAGGTCTAAGTCAGATTAGGGGGCTGTTTGGTATAGCGATTTGAAACTAGCAGTTAGCGGTTTCATCTAACCCAATGAATAAGAGTGTTTGAATTCTTAATAATAACAATTATCAACTATCATACTAGATGAAACCACTAACTGCTAGTTTCAAACTGCTATCCAAATAGCTCCTAGGAATACTTTAAAGTGCCAGTTTCCCTTTCTTGGAACTTAGTACGATGTCACACTGATACCAGGCTGCTTTCTTGCAGCCTTGTTAGGCTTAAAGGGCATAGAATAGTTCATATAGTAGGCTGGATGAACTTTTGGAACTGAAAAAAGTTTGGTTCAGTTATCCATATAGTATCACATCAACGGTTTATCCAGATTTCTAGATAATCTACTGCCTTATTCAGGACTGATTAATGTTTAATTCTGGAAATCACTCTTGACAGGTTCGTGCATATGCTGTCAGTGTTCTTGAAAGAGCTGATGATGAGGAGCTGCAGTGCTACTTACTTCAACTAGTTCAGGCACTTCGATTTGAACGCTCTGATAAATCTCGCCTTTCTCAATTCCTTATACAACGTTGTATGTACTTTAGACATGATATATTGCGCATCAATTTGCTTACAGTTTTATGCTAGTGCTTCTGTGCAGAAGTATGCACCTGGTTCTTGCATTTTAGTCATCTTAACTACTTGTAGCATCTAAGAATGGTCTTGTACTTTTGCAGCTTTACGTGATATTGAGTTAGCCAGTTTTCTTCGCTGGTATGTTGCAGTGGAACTTCATGATCCTGACTATGCCAAACGATTTTATTCTACCTATGAGTTCCTAGAAGAGAATATGATGCAGGTATGGGTTCTCAATCTGCTATGCCTTATAAATTTTACTTTCTATTTGCTTGGACATACAGAATTGATTGTTGGTAATGATAATTAACTGATGTATGCATTTGATTTACAGTCACAGTTTTTTTATTGTTTTAGAAATTTACAAATTTCAACAACAGAGTATGGATTTTCTTTTTCTTTTTGTATTTTACTAATGACAAAACATTCTAACAGTTGACAGCTGGGGTGAATGGAGAAGATGGATTCAAGATGTGGCAGAGTTTGGTACGCCAGACAGAATTGACTGCCCAGTTATGTTCTATAATGAGAGATGTGAGGAATGTACGAGGCAATACACAGAAGAAAATTGAAAAGCTCAGACAGCTTCTATCTGGCATTCTTAGTGAACTTACCTATTTTGATGAGGTGCTTAACTGAAATAAATTTCCGCTCCTTATTACCTTCTGGGGTTCTTATGGAAGGATATTATAATGTCTTTTGAATTGAGAAACCTATGGAATATTAACTTCAAGTATCCGCTTTTCTGTTGCATTTTCAGCCAACAAGATCACCACTCGCTCCAAGTGTCCTTATAACTGGAATTATGCCTTCAGAGTCTTCAATATTCAAAAGTGCACTACATCCATTACGTCTGACTTTTCGAACAGCTAATGGTGGAACTTGCAAGATAATATTTAAGAAGGGTGATGACCTTCGGCAAGACCAATTGGTAAAGTCCACAACTTTACTCCTGCTGCTTTGATGGCAAATTGCTAATATGAGATGTGGTTCCTTTAGGTTGTTCAAATGGTATCACTTATGGATAGGTTGCTAAAGTTGGAGAATCTTGATCTGCACCTAACTCCATATAAGGTGCTTGCAACTGGGCAAGATGAGGGCATGTTGGAATTTATACCATCCCGTTCTTTAGCACAGGTATTATGTCCTTCAAAATAGTAAGTGCAGTGATTCAGTCATTTGGTTGAAGATTGAATTCTCAAGCTTCATTTCCAATCTTCTTTTAGTTGATGAAGCAAATATGTACAACATAATGGACTTCTGAGCAGATGCATACTTCCTGGGCTTTCTCTATGCATGTTCATCCTTTTCTCTTTTTCTAGTTATTTATACTCTTCTATGGGTTGCCATTGTTATCTTTCAAAAGATGATGCCACTGACATGCCTTAAGTCAATAGAGATTCCTTAGGAACAGAAGTATTTGTCAACATCTTCATCAACTTCTGATGTTTTTCATTACAACCCAAATTAGGCTGAATGATTTTTCTTTAGCATATCTTTTGTGCAATTTTGCTTTTAAAATTGTAGGCTGTTAAGATTGTATTTCTTTCCATGTTCAGATACTGTCAGAGCATCGTAGCATAATTAGCTATCTGCAGAAGTTTCATCCTGATGACCATGGACCATTTGGGATTACAGCCACGTGTCTTGAAACATTTATAAAAAGCTGTGCTGGCTATTCTGTTATCACATATATTCTGGGTATTGGAGACAGGTATTGATTTATTCATGTACACTATAAAATGTATCGTATATTTATGTATACTTGCATGGGTGCACAGACTTATATAAATACATATGAACTACCCATGGGCATATCTCAGTCCAATATCAAGCTTTGACCTTGAATTTAAATCTTAAATCTTGTATTTTACAGTTCAGTTCAACAAATTTTGTTTAGATGACAGCCAATGCTGTTTTCTCAATTCTTTTTTTCTTTGGTGTCAATTTTCAGTAATGCATCTAAAGTTTCCATGCATGTCTGCAGTCAGAATTCCATTGTATGTATTTGATGTTGGTTCTATGCTTCTTGGAGTATGATCAGATGTCTAACTTTGAACTTTCAATCTTTGTGCTGGCATTTCAATTTTCCCACCTAGGATTTTTTTTTTTTTAACAGCATTTATTGTTAATGATGTATAAGTGAATTCCATTTGTGAAGACATTAATCTTTCTTGGTTACAGACACCTAGATAATCTTCTCCTCCGAGATGATGGTCGTTTATTCCATGTTGATTTTGGTTTTATTCTTGGCCGAGATCCCAAGCCATTTCCACCACCAATGAAGCTTTGCAAAGAAATGGTTGAAGCCATGGGTGGAGCTGAAAGGTTTATATATCCTGTTCCTTCTGAACAACATTTTTTAGCCATTAAGTGCTTTTGTATTCATGTGCCGTCTCATCTTATCATGTCAACTAGATTTTTAATCCACATCATATAGATTATTCACCATGAAAACTTATTGTGTTCTGGTTTGGCACATATTTAAGAATGAAGATAATTGATGAGCTTCCTTTTGCAGCCAATATTATACAAGGTTCAAATCCTATTGTTGTGAAGCTTACAACATCATCCGCAAATCTAGTAACCTTATTTTAAATCTTTTCCATTTAATGGCTGGTTCAAACATTCCAGACATAGCTTCTGATCCAGAAAAAGGCATCCTGAAGGTGGCTTTGTTCTGCTTGTAATTTCATGATTCTGCTCAGACTTTTTCTTTTGTTTCTTTGTTATGACCAAGATTCTGTTGATGCTACAGCTTCAGGAGAAATTTAGGTTGGACTTGGATGATGAGGCCTGCATACACTTTTTCCAGGATCTAATTAATGAGAGCGTTAGTGCCTTGTTCCCTCAAATGGTTGAGACCATTCATCGGTGGGCTCAATACTGGCGCTAATCCCCATCAACAGATTGGGGCTGTTCACACCTTTGTAAATAGGCAGGTAAATATGGCTTCTTCTTTTGCCCCCTTTACCCACTTTGAATCTTTTTAAGGTTTTACATGTTATGCGAAACCTATTCAATGAGAGTGAACCTTACTGCCTCTTCCAAAAACTAGAGGTAGTTAGATATGAGACACACACGTTGGAAAATTCAAATCTTATGACAGCTCTCCTCAAAAGCAAAATGGAATATTATGGTAATATATTTGTTGGTCTCTTCTTCTTTATTAGTGACCTTCAAGCAATTTTCTGACACACTCGTAGTTTGTTATGTCAAATGGAATAATGGCTAATGGAGACATCAGATTATATATCTATACTCTCATCCATGTGGCGTTCTTCATCTCTATTCAATCCTCCTGCAAGATTGGTCATGGTACTATTGGATGCAGTCCTTTGTTCTTCTTAAAGGAAGAAAGGATTTTAAAAGAGTTTTTCTAACCTGTGCCCTAATGGTGTATTAATTGCACTTTTTTATTATTAATATACATTAAAAAATAGAAGCTAACATTAACTTTATCAATTGTCCAATTAAAAATGTCCACATGGCATGAGTGTTAAAATTAATGCTAACATTTTAATTTTTTTCATGTAAATTAATGCATAAAAGGTGCCTATAAGATACTATTAACGGCACAAGTTAGACAAATCTTTAAAAAATATTGGTTTAATTTGATTTCCAGATTAGATACTTAGGAGGAAAAAAATTGTCAAACTGTTAGTAGCAAAGACTATTAGTCAACATAGTGTAAGAACTTGGAGATTCATGTGTTGGAGCGGGAACAGTACTGGTTGACATACATGATTCTGATCTTCTTCTGCTTATATGAGCATGTAAAATAGAGGAATCTAAAGAACCAAGAAAAAATGAAAAAAAAAAAATTGAAAAAACTGAAATTTTATTACTCACCTTTTTTCTTGTTTCAGATCGGCAGGTAGTGTCAATGATGAAAGAGACTCAGGATGCAAAAGCAAAATCTGCTTGCATTACAAGCTGTAGATTACTTTATATAAATTATTTTCCAGGCTTTACTTTTTCATATACATATGGTCCATCAGATCAGATCACAAGAGTGTAGCAAATAACTTTATCTAATGTTATATTGCATGGCTTTTGTTAAACTTGCTGCATGGATGATGTGCAGGAGGTGATGAGCCTCATGTGCCTAATTGTGCTGAAACTTCATGTGCTCCTCCTGGAGACATGGACCGGTTTCAGATTGTCAAATTATATATTACTCTGCTTATAGCTTCCTCTTTTAATAAATTTGCATATCAAAATTTATACAGCCAATATCCCCTGCATGGATCAGGAAGAACTTGACTTCCGGATCAAAGCAAAACTTGTTCTGTATGAGTCATGGATTTTCTTTTAACTTCTCTAGCTCCTTGTGAATTCAGGTTTTCGGAAAAGCTTTGTTATTCAAGTGTAATCTTTCCTCCTAGAAAAAAGAGTCATACTTTCAAAAGAAAAAGAGAATCGGAAGTTCTTGTGATGATTGACAAAGAATCTTCTTTCCTTCATACTTACACTTCTCTTTCAGGTTTCTTTCTGTTTAGACCAGTAAACAATTTTTAGCTCAGATTAAAAACGATTCACATGCCCGTTTAGTCATCTCTGAAACTCGAGAATGTGAGCATTTTAATCTTTTTTAGTTTGAGCTGCCTTTTTTTTCTTTTTCAGTTTATAATTAAAAGATTATTTTAATTATTAAATGACATATAAGATGATATAAAAAAAAGTTGTAAATAAAAATTCTTCCCTAATTTTTTTTTCATGTTATTATTATTTTTTTAATTTTAAGTTATATAATAAAAAAATAATTTTTTTAATTCATCATATTTATATATTATATAACTCAAATTTGTAACTTTTTATTTTTACTAAAACAAAATTAGTACAGAACTCGTCCACATTTTTTATGTTACCTAAGGCCTCAAGCAACCAATAACATAGATTGTTGGCCTATTTTTCAAAGTTTGAGGATTTTTTTAATTTTACATTACATAACAACTTTTTTTATTTTTAATTAATTTTATACATATATCATATAATTTAAATTTAAAATATTTTATTTTTATTAAAAAAATTAATACCGAACTACTTTTGCTCGCTGGCCTTTTGTTGACCTTTTATAAATGAGTTTTCACCCTCCATTTGAGGTTGAGCTGTTTTCCAAAATTGACTTGCGTCTTCGGAATGGGAATGACTTTTGTATAATTTTTTTATTTTAATTTTTTTATTTTAATTTTTTTATATAATTTAATTTATTATTAAAATAATTAATTTTTTTAATTTATATAAAATTTATAATATTAAATATATTTACTTATTAATGACATATAAAAATTATATAAAAAATAATATAAAAAATTTATCCCAATAACACCAAAAGTATTTACACAAACGGAGATCCGTCCCATATTCCCAATTCAGGCGGGTAAATTTCTGCAATTACCAATTAATTCAGCGACGTGGCAGTGACTGATCGGCACCAATGTCTCAAACATTTAATTAGGGGTATTCTCGTCATTCCACTGAAACTACAGACACGTGCCAGTGACTGATTCGAACCGACGACGTAAACTTTAAACAGGGGCACTCTCGTCATTTTGAGTGAAATGTCGAAAATGGATCTGCGTCTCCCGGCGTCATAAATATCCCTCCGCTTACATTTCCCACCCCATCTTTCGCGTTCGTCCCTCTATTTCTCTGTTGCTCTGCTGAATCTCTCCCTCGCGGCTCCTTTGCAGATCCCTCTGCGATTTTCTCCAAAGGTAATTCAATATCTTCAATCCTAACATCTTCATTTTCTCCTCATATTTTCTTGCTAGACCTAGCTTTATGGAAATCAAATCGAATGCGTTCCAACGATCCTAATTTGGTTTATGGATTTCTTTCGGTCGTGACGATTGTTTCTTAATTCGCGTGAAATTTCTGTTCGGAACGATGTACGAATTGATTATTTGATTTATTTCGGCTTGTTTTGATTGAATTTTGAAAGTTTTCTCGGTTTTTTTGCTCTGATCTGAAGGTTTCATGAGTAGTAATTCTAGATCTGTTGTTCTCATTTAGTTCATGGATTTCTTCCGGTTGTTTGGTGCTTGATGGAGATGATCTTGTGGCAAATTGAATTTGTTTTCTTTTGTATAGCTCCAGATCTATTCATTCTATATGATGCTAGCATTTCTACTTTAAAAAGTTGTGGAGGTTGAGTTTCTGTTAGTTTAAGTTGAGTATTTGAGTATGTTGGCATCCGTGTTTGTGATCTTTGCATTAAATTATTTTCTTTCTCTGATTGGGATACTTACTGGTTGATTTGCAGGGATCAACAGCTTGAAAGAGAAATGGGGCTTACATTCACAAAGCTTTTTAGCCGGCTTTTTGCCAAGAAAGAGATGCGAATTTTGATGGTTGGTCTTGATGCTGCTGGTAAGACCACCATTTTGTACAAGCTCAAGCTTGGGGAGATTGTTACCACCATTCCTACCATTGGTGAGTTGTTTTGTTGGAATTATGTCAATGGTGTCTTGCTTATACTTTAAGACTCTGTAATTTATTTGTTATCTGCTTGTGAGATAGTTTGTCTATTGGACTGTTAGTTAAAACTTTTAAGAGAGTGAAATTGGCCTATTAGTTAGAACTTATAAGAGAGTGTAATTGGCTTTGCTTACCCCTTCAATTTCTTTTCTTGTCAGAATTTAGCTTTGTTGATACAATAAAAGGTTAGCCAGAATTAGAATGCAAGGTAGTCACATTTCATTCCTGTAATGAACCATTAGGTTCTCTTAGTATCTGCTTGTTATGATATATTCATGGTAGAAGTTGAAAGTCCAGTAATTTGATTATAGGATATTTAAACAGAACTGAACCATGTTACATGCTTGATTCCAGATTCAACATTATGAGTTCTAGGAAGACAGACAATTATAACAGTATCCTTATCCAACTCTAAATTTGCTAAGATTTGAGTAACGTTGGTTCCAGTTTGTTGCGTGATGATTAACCCTATCTCATTTATGTCCACATTTTTTGACATTCAGATCCATGCTACTGGTTGATTCTGTAACTAACCACATATTATTTATCTTCAGGGTTTAATGTAGAGACTGTTGAGTATAAGAACATTAGTTTCACTGTGTGGGATGTTGGTGGTCAGGATAAGGTATGACCTTTTCAGATTGAGATTTAGCTCTAATGTCAAGGGACATATGCCTTTTTAGTGCTTTATTTTATTGTTCTCAAGAAAATAGTGATCAGTAGGTTATTTATGATTCTTCTTTTCTCCATATTATGCTACAAGTTTTTGCTATTCCATGCAGATCCGTCCATTGTGGAGGCATTACTTCCAAAACACACAGGGTCTGATCTTTGTGGTCGACAGTAATGACAGAGATCGTGTTGTTGAGGCTAGGGATGAATTGCACAGGATGTTGAATGAGGTATGCCAGTTACTTTTCAGGGGACCCATCTAGTCCTTTTGTCTTCCCTGTTTATGTATATGGTTTATCTCCTGCTTTTGGCTATATTTGGCATGATAATTTGCTTTATTTCTGTTATTTTATTCATTATGTTTTCAGGATGAGCTGAGAGAGGCAGTGTTGCTTGTGTTTGCAAACAAGCAAGATCTTCCAAATGCAATGAATGCTGCTGAAATTACTGATAAGCTTGGCTTGCATTCCCTTCGTCAGCGTCACTGGTATGCTTTCTCATTGCATTTACCTGTAATTTGCATTTGCCTTTTGTTTCATGGCTTCTAACAGCTTTGATCTTTGCAGGTACATCCAGAGCACCTGTGCAACCTCTGGTGAGGGGTTGTATGAGGGTTTGGATTGGCTCTCCAACAACATTGCAAACAAGGTAAGATAACAATGGATACTTTGTTGGGATTTTCAGGGATCATAATATGTAAACAGTTTTGGAAGTGTACTACTAAAGGGTTAACTGATGAGTGTCATTTTTGTTGGCCTTATTAACTTTGAATGTCTGATATATTACATTCTGAAGAGTTTTGACCCATTTGCCTTAGGCCTCTAAGTTGTGAAGTATGGATTATAGATGTGATTTCACACTATTGAACTGTAAAACTTCTTTTATCTTGTTCTTATATATCACATTTCTTCAATTGCGGGGCTGAATGAATTGATGAGGATTTTGCAAGATGGCGTTCTGGATGCAGGGGTGAATATTATCTAGTTTCTTTTTCTCTCCTCTTTTTTTTTTGTGGGACGGTTTGAGCTGTGGTTATGCCTTTACTTTTGTGAAAGAGCCTTTAATTTAGAACCTACTTATGGCTATATTGTAATAGAAAACTGGTTGTAATGGAAAATTAATTCAGAAACCAGCCTTTTTGAAAGTTGTTTTATATCAATATTGTTTTCCCTTTATCTAAAGCCAGAGAGCACAAGAGGTGTTCTGTTTTTCTGGTCAGGACATCCTGAGCAAGATGTTTGGTTTTGCTGTGTGGGTTCATTTTTTCTTGTATATATTCCGTTAATCGTTCCATATGGTGACAACGATGTTATAAATTACCTTTCTTTATGATATAATGCGAATTTTACCATATTTAAGTTTTGTGAGAGTGGGCCGTACTATATTTGACGCATATGGAATATTGTTCACATCGAATGCTAACCACAGAGCCAAGAACCACTCTTGTGGCCAGCAACAAATCAAGCAACGAGTGGCTCTTCTGTCTTAAGGAAGTCGCTTTTCTTTGAACAAGTCGAGCAGGGTATTATTCTGAATAAAATCCTGGAAGACGAGAAAACTTTAAATTAGTTTTTGAGAGGTGTGTGTTCCAAAGGAGAGTGCGTGATTCAGAAGAAGATAAACCTTCACTTTTCTTTGTACACATCTAGAATTTTATTTTCTTCTCATCAAATGCTGCCAATCTTTCCCAATCTGCCAAACCGTTCCTGAATTGTAAGGCGGAGTTTAAATAAAAAAACATTAAAGCTTCAGTTTTCGTCATTGCTTTCTGTTTTTATCTAATTCTAGCCCATTTGGGACCCCCCGGCAGACCTGACAAGTTAAATCTCAGTCATGGTTTAGATCCACAAGAAAGAGCAAAATATCCTTACATACCAACAAAACCAAATGGTTGTTTCTTTCTTTGTTAATTTCTATGTTAGTAAAATATCCAAACATGCCAACAAAACCTAATGGGTGTTTCTTTCCTAGTTAATTTCTATGTACTTGTCCGTGAGATTCGGCGATCCAACCAAGTCTAGGGATCAAGGTTGATCTTCATGATTGGTCAGATGAAAGAAGCAAGCATCAGAACTCTTCCAGTCCATTCATTTTCAGCATTTCTGTTTTCATTTTGAGGTCAGTTTGGGGAATGATTTCCCCAAAAGACGAAAAAAAAAAAAAAAAATCCAAATTCATTTAAATGTCAGTGTTTTGCCTTTCCCTTCCAATTGCATACATGAGTGAAAATATTCAAGTTTTTCAACGGCTTAGTTTAAAATGAAAAATTAAATCTACAAATCAAACTTTGCTGGTTTCATGCAGTCATGAAATTTTATTGCAGCTCTTTAAATTCTAAAATGTAACCTAGTTTTTAAACTTCAAAGTTAAAAGGAATATTAATAAGCATAACATTAATTTTGCTCTGCCAAACGGCCAAAACTGGAGATCACTTCCATCCTTGCTATTAAAATCTTGTAGAATTTTTTTATTGTTTTGAAGAACTTCTAAAATATTGTTAAGTGTGAAATCCCGCATTGATTAATTGAAGAGTTTTTAATTTCTTTCGATTTTATAAATAAGATAAAAGGAATCTCTTGTTGACAATAAATTTTACATAATATAAAAAAACCTATGTTTGATCAATAGTGTTATTGATGTCATTTTATGTTGTGCTCTTGATTTTACAGCCTTAATAAGTCTTAATTATTAAGAATCAGTTTTAAGGCTCTTAATTATCAAGAATCAGTTTTGTGACCCAATTCCAAGTAATTGATGTCATTTTACGTTGAATGCTTGATTTTAGAGTTTCAATGAAACTTAATCATCAAGAATCACAATTGTGAGCCAATTCCAAGTAAAGTGTATCATTCATACTAGAAGAAGATACCCTCTGCCTAATTGCAAATTTGAAAAATATATATATATATATATATATA